AGTTTCCCTGTATGTACCATGGTGAGGTGCGCTCTCGGGGCCTGGAAGTGTCAGTCATACTGAGCCAGTAAAGAATGCCTTCTCTGGAGCGCAGGGAGTCGGAAACAGAAATCAGATTTTGGATTCCCAGTGGACTCCTGGCCTGCTGCTCCCACGTGTTCCCCGAGGACGGCGCGTGGAGATCACCGAGGAAAAGTGCCAGGGTTTTGAAGGCTGGCCGGTGGGTCACCGTGCACCGCCACTCCCGCCATCTTCGGGGTGCCGTTCAGGGGCCCCGCAGAGCTGCATCCCCCCGCAGGTCCCGGCTTTTCCAGGGCCCGGGACCGCCACCCCCTCCCATTCTCCTCCATCGGGCAGCGCCCTGGCCCCTGTTCCTCGTCACCCCCACCCCGACTCCAGGCTGCCGGTGGACTCCTTTGGGATGGCCGCAATCTGAGGGACATTGCGCCTTTGGCTTAGGTCGTCCCATTTTTCTTTTCCCCTTTCCCTTCCCAACAGAATTAGGCATCTGTCCTCCCGCCTCGTTCGAAGCTGTCCCTGGCAAATGGCGAGGGAAGAGGGCATTTCCCGGGACGGTTTGCCCTTCTGGGGGCGCGCCCTCATAAGGGGAACGGAGATGATGAGAATTTTCCAAGTGACAGGTCCCAAGTCTGGCCTCCTGGGGGCGGACGAGCAGAGACTATTCCCTCTTTCGCTGGGATCTTCCCACGGGTCCTACTTCGGCGGTATTTATCTAGTATCTTCTCTGGAGACCGGTGTGTTTCTACCGGAGCCCCCAGAAATTACTAGTAGATGTTGTTTTCAGGAAGGGGAATTGATTTCCTTATGCCTCAAGAGGGTGGGGATAGCCAAGGAGCAGAAGGTCAGGCTGAAAGTGGGTGAGTAGGGAGGGCTTGCTTATTGCCCTGGGTTTCCTCCAGGCCCAGGTCAAGAGATCCCGAGAGCTGGGCAGCCCTGCCTACTGCTGGGAGCCGCTGAGGAGCTGTGGATCCTGAACTCTCCCTGCTGCAGAGATTTTGAGGAGCTCAGCCGGGAAACTAAGCTCCAGGGGAAACTCCAAACCTCTTTAGTTGTTCTTTCCAGGTATAAACTAATTCTGCTCTATTTTTTCCCCATGCAAAAGTCGTTTTTCCTCACTCCTTCCCTCCCTTCCTTTTCTCAGAGACGATGTATATTGAAAAATCAGGAGTTTCCAATATCTTTAAATACAGATCCCAGGCACCAAAACCAGAGGTTCTGATTATATGGGTTGGCACAAGGCCTGGAAATCTGCATTTCTAACAAGTGCCCACACCTTTCCCCATGTGATTAGTCTGATGAACCCAGTTTGGGGATTACTATTATAAACTACCCTAAAGTCAAATCACTCATATGCTATAAAGCCTAGGCAATGCTGTACATACAAGAATATCTCTTTACAGGATACCCTTACTATAAAAAGAATGACGATCACCTCTGGAGGTGGTGCTATCCTCACATGAAGTATTTAAGAGGCTCTTTTTCAAAGTTTAAAACTGCAATTGCCGGTTCAGTATTCACTAGAGAAAATCCACAAAAAAAAAAAAAAAAAAAAAAAAAAAAACTACTGCTCTGCTGGCCTGAGTGTCATTTCTGTCCATCTCTGCCTCTCTTCCACCTTCTCTTTAGCCTGCTTCCTACTTAAACATTTATTACAGGATGAGAAAGCCGTGTTGCAAGTGCAAGGACACCCAGAAGAAAAACTATGAATACACTCTGCTTGATTAAAATAAAGCACACTCACCATCTCAGGTGAGGTATATGCTGCCTCTGCACAGCCAAAGGGAATTAGTCTTATCAAAAGATTCCTGCCATCTTTATTTTTCTTCCTTCTCCAGCCTGGCAGGGTGGAAATTGCCTCCCTCATATTTAGTTCCTGGAGAGACTGGCTCTGGGGTAGAAATTGAGCTGCTCAAGACTTCTTGCTTTGTGTCACTTTCTCATTTGGGACAGTCAGCTTCAGGCCCTCAACAAACACATCCTTTGCAGATGCTTCTAGATTCTGCTTGACCCCAGGTATTTATTGGCTGTGTGTCTCTTGCTGATCCTGGATCTGAGGGTGTCTATGCCTCCCTTTTCCCTGGCACTTTTGTCACCTTCCTTTGGCAGTGATCTTTTCCCTTATTGGGGGTGTTCCCTCACCACTGGAGACACCCCGCCAGACTCAGCTGGGAGTCCTGCATTTGAGGACTGTTTACTGGAGAGAAAAATAGAGGTTCAGGCAGTTAAAGAGATGGAGGCCTGAGTCTTTTGCCAGGGCTATATGGGACCCATTTATAGAATCGGTGGCCTTTGCTTCCTGATCTCCCTACCTTCAAGGATCCTCTCTGAGCTGAAGAATATGGCCCAGGCAGGGGGAGGAATTGACTCTGGGGACCCCCTTGGACCTGGAGCACCAGGTTAAGTTTGGAGCTTTAGAAAGTTTTTAGTAGGCCCAGTTTCAATTGTGCATTTAAATACCATAGAGATTGAAAAGGTTCACATCCCCTTCCCTGTCCCCACAAACCTACAACCCTTCAAGTCTCTCCACCATTATACTCCTCGTCAACATGAACATTATGCTAGGAACCCTTGTAAATGCTATGGGGATCCTCACAGATCAGACTAATCTCTTCAGGGATGTCCTGGAGGAGATGGCATTACTTATGGTACCAGGGAGAAAAAGTGCTCAGCACACAAGAGGTCTAGATTACATTGTGTGAGAGCTGGGCAGGCCTCATGCACAGGAGATAAAGCGGCGTTTGAGGACAGTGGCCAGGCCCTGCAGGCCAGGACCACACTCTTTCATCCAGTTTAGGAATCAGGAAGTGGCTCCACTGCTCTGCCAAGAGCACAAAGCATAACTCTTGCCTGTCTCTATTCAACATGGGTATGTGTACTTTTCCATCACTGACCCCATGAGCTTCCTAAATCAAAGGGCCAAGGAAGGCCAGCAGAAATGGGACCTGGATTTCTGGCAGAGAATTTCCCCGAAGGAGTCCTTAGCAGATTTGGCTGCAGTCAGGGAGTTCCTCTGAGGGCAATGAAACAGAAGTTCACCATGTGCTTATTAGAGGTTACAACCTGCTAAAAAATGATGGGGCACATTACCCAGAAACTTCTAGCTATTTCCTTTGCCAGCCACAAACATGCTGAAAGGCCTGAGGAAGGAGACAATTTCATCCTTTTTTCTTTCTTTTTTTCCTTCCATGTTTCCCCTTTCCATTCATTCCTTCTCCCTCTCTCCTTCCTTCTCTCTCCCTCCTTTCTTCCCATTTTCTCTTCCCCTTCTTCCTTTCCTTCCTTCTCCTTTTCTTCTTTCCTTCCCACCTTCCTTCTCTTCTCCCCAGCCCTTTTCATACGGCAGAGACAGAGTTAGGAAGGATTTGTTCAAGCCCTCCTTTTTAACAGGAAGAATAAAGAAGGTTGAGGAAAATCCCTGCACCAAATAACCAGCTAATCAAGGACGTAGACATTGCTGTTGCTTTGGTAGTCACTCTAAAAACAAACAAACAAACAAACAAACAACTTGGGGTGCGGAATGAGGGATTGGAATTGAATTTGAGAAAATCTTAAAAGGCATCCGGACACAGTCCCAGTGACAGCATCCATTCCACCATTCACATATCTAGAGGACTGCCCGAGAGAAGTGAGCGTGTGAGAACAGTGCCCAACCCTGGCAGCTTCTAGGCTAGCGGCCGAGAGAGAAGCGTTTCGGAGGCGGGAGTGGGAGCAGAGCCTGGTCCCCCCACTTCCTGGGGACCCACGACGCCTCATTTACCGGGACCCAGCGTCCATTGACCCCCCAGCGTGGAGGCCGTGCCCCTCCGCGAGCTCCCAGCCCCACACTCACGCACCCCTATTCCATCCCACCGCCCCCGCCTCAAAGCGAAGAGGTGGGCACCTGGGACGCGCGTCCTGCTTTTTCTGCCCGGGCTCTCCCGTCTCCTCCACTTTTGTCCCCGACGTCCCAGAACAGCGGAGCAGGACGCGGCATCAGCCCTGGGAGGGCGCAGCCTGCGAGCCTCCAGCGCGCTCAGGGCGCGGCGAGGATGCTAAAGTACTGCAAGGCCAGGATGCAGACCCCAGCTCAAATTCCTGGGAAAGACACCCGCCTCCCTTTCCCTCCGTCCCCTCTGCGTCCTCGCTCGGACCCGCTCCTCCCCAGCCCAGACGCGGGTGCTCAGCGCTCCCTCGCTCGCCACTTTGCGAGGAACTTTGGCCGGCTCCCCTGCGCCACCGGGAACGGGATGTTAATGAGAGAGCGTGGCCTCGCGCCGCTGGCGAGCCGGCTCCCGGACGGCGATTGGCTGCGGCGGGGCGGAAAGATGACGTTATGCAAATGAAGGGGCGGGGCATCAAGACGAGGGCCCCGCCTCCTCCCTTTGGGGTTAGTGTGCCTGTGTTTAGCTCTGGGGAGAGTCAAACTGGATTCCATAGGGAAAGCCTGCAAATCACTTCTATTTTAGCAGGGAGAAAACAGAATCTCCATCCAGCAGGGTCCACCCCTCTCTCTTTCTCCCTCTCCTCTCTCTCTATCTTTCTTTCCCTCCCCCCCTTTCCTCTTTCCCTCTCTCCCCTTCCCCCCACCCTCTCTGGTGTATCTGTCTACGGCAACCAGCGTCCTCCTCATCTATACGCAAAGGAAAGAAACATCTTTGGTTGGGAGAGAAGGAGGAAAAAAAAAGAAAGAGAGGAAAAAACTTGCCTGGTTGTGGAAAATGACACTTGAAGTAGCAAAGCCGGCAGCGCGAGTTGAGTCTATTGTTTCTTAAATTGCCATCAGGGTTTTTTTTTTTTTCTTTTTTTTTTTCTTCCTGCTTCTTCAAGTGAAGGGTACCTCTACAAAAGGAAACTCCAGCCCCTCCTGTCCTCCACCGGCCTGTGATCATTACAA